AATTGCGATTCATTCACACGTATCTCTGAACCAACTTGATTATATTCTAGCTAATCACCCATGCAAACTCGATTTCATTAAACCAAAAATATTTCTCGCAAATCGATGCTGTAATCGAGTATAAGCTCGCTACAATAATAGAAGGCGCCTAAAATAAATTTGTCGAGATCGATGAGTCCGTTAATTAGCATTGTTCGATTATACGCAGAATGGTTCACCAGAATAGAATTTCTAATTATTGCCTTCGAGAAGTATGCTGTTTGTAGAAGCTATATTTCTTTCTTCAGATTAATTGCAACGATCGATATCTACGTGCATTTTCCTGTTATAAATAAAGAACAATTCTCGCAATGAAAAGTATTTTTTTCTGCGTCGATTGCAAGCGACAATTATAAACAAGGGAAACGCTATAGTACTGAACTTTTACAATTTTTAACATTTTAAATCTTCTCGTATTTCGTAGTTATTTAACAATTGTAGATATCTACATATCCGTGGAAATATTCATAAACCGTTCTCTTGCGTCGGTCAATACATGGAAACGATTCTGTACCGCGAGATGTATTCGCGCAGGCGCGAATTGAATTTTTAACTATTGAATTTCGTCAAATATTCCAGTAAAGTTACATTCTGTCAAAAGGAACCAGGTGAAGCAAAAATCTGACTTTAAAAAGACACTTTGTAAATTAACGACACTATCGATCACTAACGCAACAATATTTGAAATGGCGTCAATGAATAAGTTTGCAAGAATATTAATTTATTGCACGTAATATAAACAATTTATGCCTCTGTTATAAATATTAATGTAAAGATATTTCTGTCAGATCATATAGGCGGGATATTCAAACGAAGTGTCAAATCTAAAAAAAAAAAAAAAATGTCCACTTATCATCAGATTTTTGTTATAGTTGTGTATTGATTGATAAGTAGATTGTATAATAAATCATATGCTAGCTTCTACATTTTTTTCACTTCAAACTGAACGTAAATTACCAAATCCGATCTACGTGGTCTCTGAGGATAAAAATGCACGGTTTTAAGAAACTTCTAACATTACGTTGCGTAACATGGAAATTCGAAGGTTTTATTCAGCGGGTTTTACGAGAAATTTATACACCTAACAGATCTTCTAATCCCAGCCACTGGAAAAAGTCATGTGCGCAACAACTCTAACTTGTCGGCAGGCGGTCAATAACGCCAGCATAATTCTGCTGGTGCGGTTTAATCGGTAATGGATAAGCGAGCACGCCTGCGCGACTCGTCCACTCTGTCTGACCCGTGGCATTCAAAAGAGGTGACCATGACAACAGAGCGCACCTGGCGGTGGTTCTCGGCATCTAACCTGCAATCCACCTTGCGCGCAATGCAGTTCGTAAAGTGACCTCTTCGAGTCTTTGCGGTATGTGAGATTCTGACAACGGAGATAATTAGTGAATTGAAAGAGAGAGAGAGAGAGAGAGAGAGAGA